CCAACTTTAATGTGCCTGCAGATTGGGCCTTGGAGCTTGTTAAAATGCAGATTTTTGACTCAGTAGGTCTGGAGCAGGGCCTAAGATTCTGCCTTTCTAACAAGGGCCCAGGACCACCCTTTAAATAGCAATGTTCTGGATTTATAAAGACCTTGACACAACATGGTGTGTGACCCTAGACTGGATCATAGCAAACAAAACACAGCAGCTATTGAAGACATGTTTGGACAGGTGGAGAAATTAAAATATGGACTACATATTATTATTATATGATGTTACTGAGTTAACATGAACTCTCTTGGCCATGACAATTGAATTGAGGTTAGAAAGAAATCTAAAGTGCATGTGGGTGAGAGCCAAGCTGTCCACAGCTTACTTTCTGATACTCATACAGAGAGAGCACAAATACAGCAGATTACTGATGTGAGAATCTAGGTGAAAGGTCCTTTGGGTGTTTGCCATTCTACTTTGCTGTAGGTTTGCAAATATTCCAAATAAAACTTTGGGCATAAAGCATGATCCTTCTACTTCTTGGAGGCCTGGCTTTTGTTCTAGTTCTTCTGTAAACCTCCCCTTCATCCTAAGCAGAATTTCCCTGTCCTTGGTCTGTGACATTCTGTGGCATTCCACTCAGCAATCAAGCAGTTGGTATTTGGCGCTTGACTTCATCTCCTTAATTTAGCAGAGAATTCCTAGATGACAGGGTCCTGCCCTGCCCGCTTGGGCCTTCCCCTTCCAGCAGCATGGGGCTTGCCTGCTCCCAGGAAGATTTCCACTGGACTTTTTTATATGGGTTGATAAATGGAATGAATGCCAGAGGGAAGTGTCACAGGGCATTTTCAACCCACTCCTACCTCGTAATTGAGCTTAAAAACAAACCAAAAGAACTCCAGCACCATCGCCAATCAGCACCCTTAAATAGGGGTATAGAGTGTTCATGAGAATACATTTTTCTTTCTTTCTTTTTTTTTTTTTTATTAAGAGAATACGTTTTTCTAACAGGAAGATCTTTCTTTACTTAGAAAGGGAAAAGAGGCAGCTACTTTCATTTTCTTTCTAGAAACCGTCTACTTGAAAACCTAACAATCTTGAGCCCTTGACTTAACCTTTTCAAATGTAACCATTTATGTTCTCCACTGGGGCTAGATAAATCCAGTCTCCAAGTTTACAAATAGTGATGCCTCCAATCACCCTCCCTCCACCCTTCCCTCCTTCCCCCTCCCCATAATTCTTAGGCTATAATTAGGTGATAGCTTTCATATGGTTTATTTTACAAGGGTACAAGTGAATCTTTCTAAAAGTAGAATATAAACGTCTTAACACAATAACTAAGAAAATGACATAAAGGCTATGCTAACCAGTTTGATGAAAATATTTCAAACTGTATATGAAAACACCACACTGTACCCCATGATTGCATTAATGTACACAGCTATCATTTAATAAAAAAAAAATAGTGATGCCTGTTATAGTTGAAGACCTCAGGCCCCCCCTGAAATGTTAACATCTACCTCTAGTGTTAGCCTAGGGGTCTATCTCATTGTGTATTCCTTTGTCTCTTGAGGAGATAAGAACAGTTTTATTGTTTTTGCTTTTGCTCTGCTATGTAGATTTTGTGAAGTTTCATCCTGACTTTGTAGTCTCTGGCAGGCTACCTAGACACATCCTCTCTTGTGCCTCTTCAACACACAACCAAATAAATCAATTTTTTCTTTCCCTACTAATGGGAAAGAGGTGTCTCTTTGTTGGAAGGTCTTTTATTTCATCAAAGGTATACTGGAGGCTGATTGGCAACATTTACTGAAGTGAAAATTAGCATTCTATTTCCACCACTAGAAGTTTATCCCACAGATACACTTACAGACATACACAGAAGACAAGAAAGAATTCTAGAGCAAAACATTAATGTCTCTCACTAGGCGTGGATAAATTAAATTCCGCAGCATTCATACAATAGAAGCGTATGTGACTCTTCGAAAGAATGCAATGGACTTCTATGTATTGAGATGAAAGGAGCTCTAAGACACAGAGTGTACCATCAAACGAAGACAGCAAGATGCAATTTGATATGTTTGTGATAATATGTACTATGTATTTGTAGACGCACAGATTTTTGGAAGGACGCAAGGCACTGTTAATGGTGGTTCCCTCAGCAAAGAGGGTTGATGGTTGGGTGGGGAGGATGTCAGAGGATTCTACTTTCTTTTCATTCTCCTGATTTATAAACCAAGTAAAGTTCATGTTTTATTTTATTTTTCTTAAACCATGTAAATGTAATCTTTTATAATAGATGTGCTGGTTTAAGTGTTAAGTGTACATAAAACAGAATATGGCCACCACCGAGACTTCAAAGACATCACTACTTAAGACCCACAAGGAACACGGGGGCAGGGATTTTGTCGGTTTTGTCCAAGGCTATATACCCAGTGCTCAGAGCAACATTCTATACACAGGAGATAATAAATATTTGAGACTGAAGCCTAAGTTCCTTTTTCTGGCTGGCTCAAGGAATTTGACCTTCGAGTTATTTGATCTTCAAGTTAGACCTCAAGGCAATCTTTACTGATTTTCCTATACACCTTATATCTTTTTCTCTCCATCTCTCGGCTCATGCTCTTCCAGCGGCCCAGAATGACTCTCTTCTCCTCTTCCTTCCCTGCCTGTTTGAAATTGTTCACATTTCTTAAGACAACCTGAAATTCCAGTCTCCAGGGAGGTGTCCTTAAACTTGCCTGGAAAAACACCCTCTCTCCTTAAGTTGTGGTCTCCTGGTAGCTCTGTATGCCCACCTTCCATCAATTACTTTATATATATATATTATATATATTAGGACTCAGCTGTTTTAAATTTTGTCTATACATGTGCCTTTTGATCTAGAACCATGTACTCCTTATGCCAGTAAAGCCATTCTTATTGTCCTTCCTTCTCCCATCCTATGTAGAGAGTGCAATGTAGCCACCAACTCGTTTGATTTTTAATAATGGGCACATGAGTCCTAGCTCCTTGGCTTTCTCCCATTGGTTCCTTTCCCAGAGGTCCTTTCAGAGTCTTTTCACTTGTCTGAGTTCTTCCTATTCTAAAGTCAGTCTACATTCCCTCTTCCTCTAGGAAGCCTTTCCTGATAACTCAAGCTCAAGGGGATAACATTTCCTGTCAGTTGTTACAACAACTAATATCTGAACCATTTATTGGAAATGATATGTGCAAAGCATTTGAGATTTCATGTATCACAGCTAGTATTAATATTATAGGCCTTAGTGTTAAGCAAGTAACTCGTATTTCTCGGGCTAAGAAATCACAGCACACCAAACCATACAATCAGACTGTGAAGGGAATCTTTACATATCCAAACATGAGGGGCAAATCAAGGACATGGATCCACAAGAAGAAGAGAAAGGTCCCAAGAGAAGAGTGGAGACAGAGTGTCCTGGTGCTTCTGTGTTTATCTTTTTGGCAAAGGGAATAACGTTCTCATTGAATAACCAATCCGTTCTGGCTTTCCCACTTTCTCCCACCACTTTCAGCGTGACTTGGTTCAAGCCCTAGTCCCTCTCTGTTTCTCATTTTCCACCTTTACAAAAAGGAAGCAGAAAGAGCCACTCTTGTTCTTTCATAGAACAAATACATTTAACAAAAAGTTGGATTTGGTTGAGGTCCATTCTAGAGCTCTGTCTAGCTTGAAATACCACCGTCATCACCACTCCTCCCAACATCTCAATCTTTCTTTCCTTAGCAGTTCTAGCTACATCCTTTAAAGAACTTCTTTAGGCCTTCTTCAATTTCTTTTCTTTGGCCATTGCTCACAAATGACACCTTCCTACAAATTAGAATTACAAAAACTGTAAGGTCGCGACAGAAGAAAAGGAACCCTAGAATGTCTCTACGACTATTATTCTTAGTAGATGTTGATGAGTTTGATAAATTTTAAGTTTTATAAATTCTGCTATCTAAATGTTTGCAATTTCCCCCTTTTCACTATTAGGGAGATTAGGAGCTTCAACGCTTCATTTAAATTTCAAAGCTTGAAGACACTTGAGAAATGATGTCAAAGCCTTTTAAAGTCTAGTTCTTTTGTTAGCAATTGGTGAGTTATGGAGTATTTAGCCTAAGACAGCAGAAAGCCAATTCTTTAGCATTACAATATCAACAGAAGTGGGAGCTAGGAAGTCAAAAGCAGAAATGTTCTCACTCTGGCAGAGTCAAAATAACCAAAAACTTCATTTCATAAAACTAGTCCTGAGTTACCATATGCTCTCACTACCATATTGTCTATACAATACCTACTGGTAGATTCTCTGTAAACACCAATTTCCTAAAATATGAGGAAGCTTCCTCCTTCATCTTTTCTTCTGTTTTCAGAAAGAAACTGCACCATTTACTTCAAACGAAACCTTTTCTCTTTTCTGCCTCTATGCTGTTTCTTGGGACACTCTAAGTTATTCAAAGCTTGCAGTTGTCTGGTGGGCTTCAACACCCAAATGCCCAGCGCTGTAAGGAACCTGGGTCTTCTCTGGTGCCCTCTTTCCAACAAAACTCTTCTCAACGGCTGAGACCTCAGAAACCTCAGGAACACTTCCCCTGAGAATATAGGACCTTAGAATCTGGTACGAAAGCCTCGAAGCGATGATAAGGGGCTGTCCAATGTGTTATCGGGTTTCCCTCCGAGATACAGGTCTCGGGCTCAGCAGGACCTACTCTTAATTTCCCAAGGCCAATAGCGCCTCTCCACCGTTTTGGTTCAGGCAGATCTGGACAGTTTTGAGATAGTGGCCCACCAGTATTTCTCTAAACAAGCCAAATTATTTCAGAGTTCCTGTTTCTTCTCTTCCTTTCTCTACCACGTGTGTGTGTCTGCACACACACACACACACACACACACGGTTTTATTTATTTTTACTTTTTGCTCTCAACTAACTTGTTAGTTTGTTGCCGGGGCTCCTGCAATTGGGGAAATTGAATGTAAATCAGAAAAAAAGAATGAGGAAGAGGAGTCCGCTTACCTTCCTCTGAACCACCAGCACCATAATGGTCGCCAAAGCCAAGACCAGGCACACAGCCAGCGTGGCTGTGGTGAGAAAGAAGTGGCTGCGGCTCGTTGTCCCCAGATGGCTGGCCACGGAGCCCTCCTGCACGTGCATGGCTGCGTCCCGAGGAGGGGCCGCCGCGCTGAGTGCTTGCCGCGGCCCTGCGTCCATTCTTTATATAGGCCGCCCCGCATCACACCTTATCTCTCCTCATCTGATTCGGTTCTGGGCTCATCTGGGTTCCAAGTAGGATTCTCCCCCTGCATCCTGGATCATGTGACTTGGAAAAAAACCTTCACCCACTGCCTCGTGGAGAAACTCTTCTCTGGGGGCGTGAGGCGACAGGCGGCAGCAAGGGTGGGGGAGAGGCTCATTTTTCATTGCCAGGGATTAATATGAGTGCAGAGAAACTGTCGCTACGGAGAAGGTGGCTGATGTCAGAGGGCACGTAGGAAAATGACGGTTCCCCTACTCTGCGTGTGTGTGTGTGTGTGTGTGTGTGTGAGAGTGAGGGTGCGCGCATGCACAGAGCAACTTCTGTTTCCTTTAGCCTTGGCCACAAAATGCCTTCACGCGCCAGAAGCCTCACGTTCTTGTAGCGGAGCCCGAGCTTAGGGGATCTCAGAGGAAGCGTCCTCGCTGGGCCTCGGGGAGTCTGGGCGCCTTGGACTGCAGTAGGACAGCTCCAAAGGGCTCAGTTTGATAATATCAGCACCTGCTTTAAAAGGAGGGATGCTGCCAGGTGTCTGAAAAGGAAGAGCCCACAATGGGAAGATTTATCCAAAGGGCACAAGCTCATGGCAGTATGAAACTCGGGGGCAGATACCGGGAAAGAGCAGGAATCTGGGAACACGGGTCGTTTGGACAAAAACTCTCACAGAATGTTTTGGGATATGTTAAACTTGGAGATGAACCTGGGCCAGCCGTAAAACACATAAAAGAGGAAGGAATTGATGGTCAGGGTGGGTGAGGGGAGGCGGTGTGGCGTGGCATGGGGGGAGAGGGAGGGTGTTTTGTGCGGTGTTCCAGGTGGAGCACGTGTATCTGTGCTGTGTGTTGTGTTCCGTGTATGTATGGGACGTGTCCGGGGTGGGCATGTGTGATGCGTCCTGCATGCTGTGTGTGCTGCGTGTTGTGTATGTGACTAACACAATCAAACCCCTGTTGTCTCAGGCACAGTGCTAGGAGCTTTACTTACGGTGTCATTCCACTTTTATCGCCACCCTCTGAGGCAGGTAACATATTTATTTTACAAGTGGGAAAATTAAAGTTCTGAGAGGATAAAAACCATCTCAACCCAAATGGCCAGTGTTGGTCACTGGAAGAACTTGGATGTATGTTCAGACCTGCCTGGTTTGATGCTTATCCTAAGTCAGTCAATCTTCACTGCATCTGAAGGCTGACAATCTGAGGGCTGGTCTCAGCCCTTCCCCTTTGCCTTTGGTCCTTGTACAAGTCCTTTCCCTCATCAATGTGTGACACAATGTGTTACAGTCATGGGGAAGATCGGATGAGATGATGAAAGAGGACTCTGTGAATGGAAATAGACGTGTGGGATGGTGTTGGACAATTCCTGTTAAAAATCCGGAGTGGTCCCCTGGGGCCAAGTCTGGAATTTAGAGAGATGACACAGACATGAGCTGGGTCACATCTGTGATTACTAATGATCTCCATCGCAAAACACCATTTGAAATGCCGCCTCCGGGTGTGGCTCTTTGAAGCCTTCTTGTAATATCTCCCTGGAAGTCTCAGGCTTTGTAGTGCCCCTTCCTTTTCTGCTGACTCTTTGGCTGCAATACATCACTGAGGGCCAGAGGAGAGCCCAGATGACCCATAAGGAAGTGTCCTGTGTCCAAAGTCAGGTTCGTACTGTTACTATCTATATCCTTGTACAGATTCCAGACTCCTGAGTATCCTCAGACTTTAAGTGTGGCCTTTGGCAGCCCTTCCCAGGGAATCCACAGAAGCATAGATTCTGGAGCTGAAAGAGTCATCGAGAAACATATTGCTTTCTTGGGCTAAGCAGAGTGGCAGGCAATATACCCAATTTGCAGTCAGGGAAGCTGAGGCTCCCTTAGTCCCAAGTTGGGGGTGGTTTGGGAAGAGGTGTGTGTACACATTCACTTCATCTAGTAATTGAAGTGGAATGAGGGATGCCAGTGTTTTTCAGAGCATGGACCTGGCTGAGTTGGGGAGAAGACTGTGTCCTCCGGTGAGTACGGACGGTGAGTGGGTAGCAAGGGCCTGTGATGTGCCCAGAGCTGCTGAGAACAGGCCCTCTTGTTCAGCCTCTTTGATCAAAGTGGAAAACTTGTGATTGTTGAATGGAAGCTGTGGGTGTCGAAAAATAAAAAGGCTTTGCTTGAAGTTCAGGTCTTCCTGAAGGCCTGTGGGGCTGAGAAAGGCAGTGGAAAAAAATGTTTGTCTTACAGTTACCCGTTTTGCATACAGTGTAATGTCCTAGGAGGGAAGGCTGACAAGGGGGAAAATCACCCTTTGTTTTTACTCAGAACCTTCTAAGCAGTTGAGATTTTTCAGATCATTTTCTAGTACAGCAGTTTGTGGGCCCAATTTGACTTCTTTCACTGAGATACTCCTCCACCCACAAGCGTCGAGGGCTCCCTATTTCCTACCCTCATTGTCTAAGCCCCTCTCTGCTTTCCAGATGTTCCAGAATTAGCCCAGCCAACCGAGGAGTCCATCTCCTGGATTAGAGGACTGTTTTCTGTCTTCTACTCAAGCCACCCAATTTGCAAATGGAAGGAGTGTTTATGGAGTTTCATGTTGACTGATTTTCCAGTCCTTTCTGGAAGCAAAACTGTTTAGAGGGTATAAGAATACAGGAAAGCAGAATTGCTCTGGCTGGATCATGGGTGGGACGGAGAGAAGGGCTGTGCTCCACCTGCTCATTCATCCTGTTCTCCAAGATGAACAAAGTAAAGAAATTGTGATTTAACCCAAAGCCCTCATTCCTCTGAATAAGGAAGTTGAGACACAGAAATGAGAATGACTTGAAGAAGGGCACACATAGGAAAGGATGAGACGGGTTAAAAGCCCCCCCCCTCCATTCTTCTAACCCTCTCTGCTAATATTCCAGGCCCACCCAGGCTCCTTGTCGTATCTTCCTTGCCTTTCCATTGCTTCCATCCTTCAGTCTTGCCAAGCCCGTGCCAGGTCACCTCACCTCCCCTGGGAAAACTTACTCAGATTGCTCAAAGCCACCAACATCCTCTCTTGGGAAGCCTCTATCCCCAGGCCACATGACCTAATTATCTAAGTATCTACTTGTCTTTATGTATAACATCAAGTGTGTGAACATGTGTGAATATTGCCTTCTCCGTGAGACTGAGGTTCCTGACAGCTGTCTGCGCTCTCCCAATCCCCGTCTTTTAGATTTCAAAATATTTATTAAGGGGGTGCAAATGTTTTTGTTACATGGACGACTTGCATAATGCTTAAGTCAACGCTTTGGGTATGCCTGCCGTCAGAATAGCGTTCACTGTACCCAATAGGTAAGTTTGATCCCTCACCCATCCTCCCCCATACCCTTCTTGGGTTCTCATATCCTTTGTATCTCTTTGGGCCTCTGTGTGCCCTTCGTTTAGCTCCCACTTAATAGTGAGAACATACGGTGTTTGTTTTTCTATTACTGAGAAACTTCACTTAGGATAATGGTCCCCAGTTTCACTCAAGTTGCTGCAAAAGGCATTCTCTCATTCCTTTTTATGGCTGAATAGTACTTCATGGTGTATGTATACCATGCTTTCTTTATCCACTTATGAGCTGAAGAGCACTGAGGTTGATTCCACATCTTTGCAATTGTGGATCATAGTGCAATAAACATTTGAGTTCAGGTATCTTTTTGATAAAATGACTTCATTTCTTTTGGGATTGCTGGATTGAATGGTAGGTCTACATTTATTTCCTTCAGGAATCTCCATACTGTTTTCCACAGAGGTTGTACTAATTTGTAGTCCCACCAACAGTGCATAAGTGTTCCTATCTCTCTGCAACCGTTCCAAGATTTTTTGAAGTGCCAAATCCCAGCCTCTAGACTACCAGGAAGTCCTTTTATTACTTTTTAAATAATGGCTGTTTGATAGGGATAAGTTGCTATCTCATTGTAGTTTTAATTTGAATTTCCTGATGATTAATGATGCTGAATATATTTTCATATGTTTTTTGGTCATTTGTCTATCTTCTTGTGAAAAAATTCTGTTCTCTTGGTGCATTCCACTTTGAACCCTTGGATATTCTTTCTGGAATTGGTACAGGTAATTTCCCCAAGCCAGTGTTTGTCAAAACGTTTCAGGCAGCTGAATTCCCTGAAGTGACTGTCAGAACGCAGATTAGAGCACCAGACCCCAGACTGAATTTCTAATCCTGTAGGTCTAGGAGGCCTGGTGCGGGGCTTATAATACGGTCAACCCTCTGTCAATGCTTCTGTTGCGTTTGTGTTTATGGAAAGAGAAAGGTTTAGGATATGGCATTTTGACGTCTCACTTCTCAATTGTCCTCCATTTTCTCATCCTTCTTCAGAGAGTGGCCTCGTGAGAATGACCACTGGCCTCCTTGCAGCCTGTATGAGTTGCTGAGGTGTGACTGTAGCACCTCAGAGTCAGAGGACAAACAGAACTAATCTCTCATCCTTTCAAGAGGGGGCCTCATTTTGAAGAGAAATTGAAGAGGGGTCAATGTAGTGCCTCCTCCACTGCCTTCCCATATGAGGGACTGCGAGAATGACCTCTGTCATAGAGACCAGTGGTTCCCAATTATGACCCTTGAACAGCACCTGCATCTGTAGCACCTGGGAACCCGGTAGAACTTCAAGGCCTCTTAGACTTACAGGATTAGAAACTCAGTCTGGGGTCTGGTGCTCTAATCTGCGTTCTGACAGTCACTTCAGGGAATTCAGCTGCCTGAAACGTTTTGACAAACACTGGCTTGGGGAAATTACCTGTACCAATTCCAGAAAGAATATCCAAGGGTTCATTTGGTCCAGACTCTGGCCTGGGGGCAGAGCTACTCCCTCCATGTGTAGATGAGAAGATGGAGGCAGGAGAAATTTATGGTCCAGGTTCAGGGTCACGGAACTGGGTGATGTTGATGTAAAGACTAGTTTTTCAATTCCTTAAATGAGCCCTGTTTCTAACCTCATTATGCTTGTAGGCTCTAAAAATACTATTGCTTATGCAGACCGATACATATTTGGAATCAAATGGAAATAATTTTAATTCAGCCAAGGTTCTCTTGTGGTTTTCACTGTATGTGGTAGAAAAAATATGTTTAAAAGACCTTTGGCGTATGTGAGAAAAGGGCAGGCTCCTTGCAGCTAAACTGTCTTTTGAGGAGGAAAGATTTTGTCTCATTAACCGGAGAGCCCTCTGTCTCTCTGGGGCTAACTTGAAGAGATTGGACATTGGAGCTCAGCCCCAGTGACACTTCACTGGGAGAACCCAGTGAAG